ATGTCTGTTCATTTCAGATGCCCATTTTTGGATTGGGTCTTTAAATTTGGGAGGTCTGATCTTTTTAAGTTCTTTATAGATTTGAGATAGTAGTCGTTTGTCTGAGGAAGAGCAGGTGAAGATTTTTTCCCACATTGTGGGTTGTCTGTTCACACTGCTGGTGGTTTCTCTTGCTGTGCAGAAGCTTGCAAAAGCTTTTTAATAAGATGAGATCCCAGTTGTTGATTTTTTGTGCTAGTTCTCGTGCGATTGGGATTTTGTTCATAAAGTCTTTGCTTACACCAATGTCTTCGAGAGTTCTACCTAATTTATCTTCCAGAAGATTTAATGTTTCTGTTTTAATATTTAGATCTTTGATCCATTTCAGTTTTAGTTTAGTGCATGATGAAAGATATGGGTCTAGTTTTAATCTTTGGCATGGGGAAAGGCAGTTTTTCCAGCACCATTTATTAAAGAGGTTAACTTTCCTCCAGTGAAGGTGTTTGGCTTGTCAAAGATAAGGTGGCTGAGTATGTCTAGAGTTGTTTCTATATCCTCTAGTCTGTTCGATTGATCCCTGGGTCTGTTTTTTGCCAGTACCATGATGTGTTTTTTTTGTTTTTGGTACTGGGGATCGAACTTGGGTCCTTGTGCTTGCACAGCAGGCGGTGAAACCACTGAGCTAAATTCCTGGCCCACCATGATGTGTTTTAAAATTTTTGTTTTTTATCACAGTAGCTTTGTGTATAATTTCAAGTCAATTTCAATTTCAAGGGGATTGTAATGCCCCCTGCCTTGCCTTTGTTGCTTGGAATTGCCTTTGCTATTTTAGGTCTCTTCTGGTTCCAAATGAATTTTAGGATTGTCTTCTCTAATTCTGTGAGATATGCTGTTGGAATTTTGATTGGGATTGCATTAAATCTATATAACAATTTTGGTAGTGTGGCCATTTTCACTATACTGGTTCTTCCTACCCAAGAACAAGGGATGTTTTTCCATTTTCTGATATCCTCTTCAATCTCTTTTTTCAGAGTACTGTAGTTTTCAGTGTAGAGGTCTTTTACTTCCTTTGTTAGATTGATTCCTAAGTATTCCATTTTTTTTGATATGCTATTGTGAAAGGTGTGGTTTCCCTAATTTCTCTCTCAGTGAGTTTGTTGTTCATGTACAGGAGGGCTATTGATTTTTGAGTGTTGATTTTGTATCCAGCTATGCTACTATATTTGGTTATTAAGTCTAAAAGTCTTTTGGTGGAGTTTTTAGGGCCTTCTATGTAGAGTATCATGGCATCTACAAATAATAATTTAACTTCTTCCTTTCCTATTCTTATTCCTTTTATTTCTTTCTCTTACCTAATTGCTCTGTCTGGTGTTTCCACAACTATACTTGATCTTAGCCAAAAGGCCGAGAAGTGATGGTGTTTCCAGAACTATATTGAACAAGAGTGGTGACAGTGGACATCCTTGTCTAACATACTTTATTTTTATATTTTTATTAATTTTATTGATGCAACTTAGATATACATAATGATCACATTTGTCATAGGGAATTTGTACATATATCTATCTATCTATCTTGATTCCTCTTTTTTTCCCATTCTCTAAATAACATTTTATATCTATAAGTTATACACAAAGAGTTTTTTTGGTTTTTTATTTTTGAGACAGGGTCTCGCTATGTAGCCCTGGCTGGCCTTGAACTCATGGTGATCATCCTGCCCCAGCCTCCTAAGTGCTGGGTTTGCAGGTGTGCACCATCACGCTCAGCTCATAAGATTTTATTTATTTATTTATTTATGTTTTGGTACCAGAGATCGAACTCAGGACCTTGTCCTTGTGAGGCAGGTGGTGGAACCACTGAGCTAAATCCCCGGCCCATGGTTTTGAAGAATATAAAATGTATCTATGTACTCACCACCCAGCAAAGAGAAGAGTGTTGCCAACACCTTGAAGGATGCCAGAGGTCCCTGGTTCAGAGAAGCTACGAGTGAACAGTGCAAGGGATTGCGGGAAGGCTGGGAGACGGGCAGGTCTCAGACCTCTGCATGTCACCTGCGTTCATACCACAGAGGAACTGGGCCCCTTGCACAAACGACAGGGTTTCTTCTGATTGGTAACTATGTGAAGTGGACCAGTTGTGTACGAATCACTGTAGTGCTGAATGACGTCCGTGTGGGTGGCAGGGAGCTGGGGATTCTTCTTTTTTGAGACAATATCTTGCTATATTGCCCAGGCTGCTTTTAAACTCCTGATCTCAACTGCTTTAGCCTCTCCAGACGTGCACCAGAGCATCCAGGCAGTATCTGGGATTCTGATAGGATCTTTATCCTTTTTTAAAAAAATTTAATTTTACTGGTACATGTTTACAATTCACACAGTTTACAGCCATCTTGGGGAGTGGTTACTTGCACACACGTGACAGCTTGTTTTTTTCTCATCACCTTCCCCTTCTGTCACCCTCCCCCTCCTCCTCTGGTTCCCCTATCACATTTTCCATACTTGTTGATATTATTTGGCTTAGCTCATGTTATGGCAAGAGAATAATAAAGATGGATAGAAAGGGACAAGGGATGGATCTCGTCCAATAGCGAAGTAATCCAAGGGAACAAGGATCTTTTCTTACAAATTCTGGGTCCTTGCGCCACTGCGCTAAAACCCCTGCAGTGCATTTTGCTGCCAGTAGATGGCGCAACAGCACCATGCTCGGGGACCATTCTGGGGGAGGAGAGGCATTTTGTATTTTGAAGATGATGGAAAAGAGAAATACCTTACATTGAGAAGTGAAACTCTGGCCCGAACTTAACATAGGCAGAGTTGGTTGCTACGTTTGCATATGTGACGTGAATACCAGAGCCTGACTTGAAGGTCTTTGGGGAACAATTTATTTCATATGAAGTGGGCAGAGCAGCATCCAGCACTTAATAGATGCTTGATAAGATTCAGTATTTCTTTCCTTTTCCATCTGCAGTGCAGTGGCCTGGCTCATCCTTGAAAGCAGGCTTGACACTCACCTCTGCATCTCAGCTGACAGCCACGGAGCAGTGCTTGGTAAGGTACTTTTCTCTTCCCACTGTCCTCATCACGTGGAGGTGGGAGCTGCTGTCTTCCTGTGGCTTTGGAGAAGATCAGGCAGGGACTACCTGGGAAGTGGATGGGTGAATGGATTGGCAACTCAAGCTGTCCAAGAATGGAACAAGCCAGGTGTGGTGGCACACACCTGTAATCCTAGCACTCTGGGAGGCTGAGGCAGGAGGATTGCCCAGGCCAACAACTTAGCAAGACATTTCCTCAAAATAATAAAGGAAGGGCTGGGGATGTGGCTCAGTGGCACCATGCCTGTCTGGCAAGTGCAAGATCCTGGGTTTGACTTCCAGTACTGGAAAAAAAACTAGGAACGGGTTGGCAGGAGCCAGCTCGCAGAGGCCTGGCATGCTATCCCAGGCATCGCGCTGAGTGGCTGGGGCAGAACGTGCCTTGCTTCTAATACACTGCGTGGCCCTGTGCAGGTTTCTAACCTCCCTGATCCTCATCTTTCTCAGTCTCCCTTGTTATAAGAATAAAAGGCAGGGGCTGGGGATGTGGCTCAGTGGTTCCACCGCTGCTGTGCAAGTACAAGGTCCCAAGTTCGATCCTGGTACCAAAAAAAAAAAAAGGATAAAGAGCAGAGTAGGAAGTTCAGAATATATGGCATGGCATAGGGTAATGATAGAATGGTGTACTGGGTGTGTTTGGAGTCTGGGCTGGTGGGAGAGGAGGGCGCTGTGTGCACCAGGTGCCTGGGAGAGAGGGGAGCGAGGTGGTGGAGGGAGCAGGCTCTGTGTCCAACCTGGTGGCCTGAAGGGCTGCTTGGGGCCCTTAGGTTGTAGGCTTAGGGGACTGGGACCGGAAGATGAGGGAGCCCCAGCGTTGAAGACCTCCAGGATCCTGAGCCTGGGGAAGGGTGTTCAGGGCGTGGAGTTTAGAGAGGGAAGAGTTGCTCTCCTCCCTGCTGCAGCACCCTGCCTGCCTTGGGCCATTAAGGCTTTGAGGTCAAGGACTCAGCTGGCCACTGGAAGGGGCTGGGTGCTCACCAGAGCAGAGGAAGGGGCCCTGTGCAAAGCCATGTCTTTGAAATAACCAGGGAGACACCAGGAGGACATCCCAGTAGACAGCCAGAGGCCCCACAGCACAAAGAGGGAACTGGGAGTCCTTCTGATCACTGAAGTCAAAATGACCAATTTTTACCCCCTATTACAGTGCCTAGTAGCTAGTAAGTGCTCAATAAGTGCAAGTCAATGCAATCCGTGTCCTATGTGTGGCACCTCTGCAGGGAATTGTGTCTGGTAGAGAGAGGCTAGGCAGGTCATGACAAGGACCAGGGCAGGAAGGGACCTTACAAGCATCTTACCCTCACTAAGTCCATTTCAAGAAGAGAAGACTTGCCCAAGGTCTGGCTGGAAGCCAGAAAGGGGAACAGTGGGTCATAGGAATCTCCCTGCTTCCTTACCATGTCCTGGACTCTCCAGAGCGACAGACAGGAGTGTCCACTTCCAGCCAGTCTCCCCGGACCCTGCTCAGGACCCTCAAACCCCCCATGTCCATGAAGTCCTCAGGCACCTTCCCAGGCTCCTGGTCTGCCCATGCATGTTGGAGCCAGAATCTGGGAGTCCCATTAGATTCCACCTTCTCCTCCCGCCCCAGCCCAGCCAAGGCCAAGGGCAAAGTCCACACTGCACCTGCCATGTGCCTCTGCTCTCTGGTCCTTCCCCTGCATATTCCTGCCCTTTCTGTCCTCTTCCACTGCCTCACTGACTCTGGTTTGGCCCCAGGTACTCAGGAAAGTCAACAATGGTTGTGGTTGGCTCTTGGGGCTTGGAGGACTCCTTTTTGGGGCCTGGGTCCTGGGTTCTGGCTTGGGTCCCTGTCCCTGTCTGTCCCATGCTCACCAGCAGGGGACGCTCCTGTCCCGTGGAAACCTGGCCCTGCTCCCACTCGGGGCGGGGCCCCAGGAGCCTCTCGGTGTGGCTGGCCTAGTTTGTCAGGCAGGTCTGGAACGCGCTGGCAGGGCAGACAGGGTGTGGGGAAGCTGGGGACCAGGATGTTGGAGGAACGCATCTTTGTAGGTGTTGGGCTGGCCAAGCTGGGTGTGCACAGGCAGTGTGTGTGTGTGTGTGTGTGTGTGTGTGTGTGTATGGGCTGGGGGGCATCGTGCTATAGCATGGTTGCATGGAAGTGCCCTGGCTCCTGCTGGCCACCCCCAGGCCTGGGTCCCCTGCAGTGGCTGCCAGGGCTTGGCTGAAAGACAGATCCTTCCAGGGACCCCCATCTCTTCACCACAGGAGCCAGCTTCAGCACCTTGGGGTACAAGCCCCGCAGTACCACTTGGTTTTAAACCTAAACTGCGTTGGCCTTGGTGTCCTTGTAAGAACGAGGACACATAACACCAGTGCCACAGAGCTGTCATGAAGACTGTAGCTGGCTGTGGGATGCATTTAGCCCCCAGCCTCCACACAGTGGTGGGACGAATGGAGATGTCAGGTGGAGACCCGGGTGAAATTAAAGACCTGTCCTTGGCTTCCCTGCCCAGGGGCTGAGAGTTGTGTCCAGAGAGGCTGGCTCAGAGCCTGGAGGGTGACAAGGACCCACGCACAGCTGCAGGACGGGGAGGGGGAAGGGGCCTCAGGGCTGAGAGCACAGTGGAGTGGCTGGAGGAGGACCCTGCAGAGCCCTCCTGGAGGGCACAGGGCCAGAAGAGGACCTGGCCCTGAGGGGAAGATGGGATTTCTCAGGGCAGGGGGCCTCCAGGCTTGGGGTGGGAGCTATGGAGGTGGGGCCTACTGGGGTCCTGCATGGGTGGGGGTCAGTGGGTGTCAGGCTGCTGTGCGGGATTGGCAGGGTGTGGGAGGGCTTGACTGCTAGTGTGGAGGCCGCCGTGAACGCCTCAGGCAGTAGGCCGAGGGAGGGACATGGTGCCCTGATGCATCTGAGCGTCAGGAAAGCCCTGTGTGGCTGTGGGCCCCATGGGGCAGGGAGAGCGATCCCTCTCCTCACCACCAGCAGGGGGCCCCAACCAGGGAGGCTGGCGGGAAGGGCAAGAGGTGCCTGGGCCTGCACCCCGGTGGCAACTTTGAGGCGGGATGGGAGCCCTAGGAGGAAAACCTCCTTCTCCCCTTGGCCTGGATTGTAAAGAACCAAGGTTGGGTGGCTGGAAGAACTTCCTGTGCTCAGATTTGGGGACACCTTTGTCTGGGGCCAGGCTCTGACTTGCCCCTGAGCCCCCCTCCTAGCTCCCACTGCCCCCTTCCAGGGTGAGCCTTGGCCTGGCTGAGGCCTAGTTTGAGTTTCATGCTGCAAACTCCCTGGGTCTTCCTAGCCCACCACAGAGGGGCCTGGGGCCACAGCACCTAGCTCTCCTCCTCAGTGGGCTGGGGCTTCTGACAAGATAGCACAGGCCAAAGAGGGAGCACCTGTTCTCATAGGGGCGGGCTGAGAAGGCTGCTCTGGCTGACCTGTGGTGCTTGTGCCTGTGGAGAGGGTCTGGGGAGCCCGTGACAGCAGTCACAGCGGGAGCTGAGGAGGCACCCTCTCAGCTGGCTGTCAAAGCTGCCTTGGAGTGGAGGGCAGGCAGAGGCCTGTGTCTAGATGCCAGCTGGCGGGGTGGTGTGGGCCCCACACAGCCCGAGGGGCCTTTAGGAGGTGGGGGAGCTCTGTGGAGGGGCAGAGCTGGGGTGTTGGAGGGTGCTGGGCTCTGGGTGTTCTGGCACTCATTTTGGGGGCCTGGGTCTGGCTCCTCCCTTGAGGTTTGAGTGCCGCCCGGTCTGGGTGGAGGAGTGGCCTGGGCCTGTACTGCAGAGGGCTCCTAGCTGGGCAGGCACAGTGGTGCTGACTGCCTTAGCCCTACAGGGAGGCAGGCCAGGGGTCTCCACTCTGGTTGACTCAGGGAAGTTCTTGCCTGAAGCTGTGGGGAGCCCTGGGGCCAGGGGCTGCTGGTGCTTGTAGGCCCTGCTGTCCCCAGTCCCTGCCTCTCTGTGGCGACTCAGCCTGGGCACGTGGGCAGCTGTCCCACTACTCTGGGTCCATGCCCTGTCCCAGCTCTCAGGCAGTGAGCTTCCTGAGCCCTGTCCAGCAAGGTTCCTGAGTGTCAGGGGGCAGCTGGGGTAGAAGTGGGGCTCTTGGGGCATGGGGAGTTCGGGTTAGGGTTGGTGGTGAGGGCAGAGGCAGGTGTGGGTGCTCCTGGGATGTGGAGCAGGGCCTGGGGTTAGGGAAGGGCCTGCCTGGAAGGGAGGCTTTGGGGAGCTGCTGCGGGTGTGGAGTGGGTATTTGACACTGGGATTTGGGGCAGTGTAGTATGGGAGTTGGGGACGGGACTGGTTTGGGGCTGGCTGGTGAGGATGGGGAAGGCTGAGGCATAGAGTGGCACCCAGACTGGGAGTGAAGTTTATTTAGGGTCGAACCTGGGGAGTGGTGCAGATTGGGGGCGGGGGCCAGTACAGTCAAGAGAGCTGGGGTGAAGGTGAGGGCAGGTGCAGACTGGTGCTGGACACAGCTTGGGGGCCAGGCCGGGCCCGGCCAGGGTTAGGTTGGCTGTGTGGCCGGTCAGGTACCCTGGGGTTTGTGGGGAGTTCAGGAGGGCCTGGTCGTGTTGCTCCACGGAGTCCCTGATGCTCCTTCCTTCTCCCTTTCGGCTGGTAGCTGTTAGCTGTGGCATCAGTTGGGGACCGTGGTGGCAGCAGGATCCCTCCACCCTCTGAGTCAGGCATGGCCCTAAGGGGTCCTGCAATGGTTCCAGACTCTAGGGCTTGGTGTCTGCTGAGGCAGGGCCTGCGGCCTAGGGTCCCTCTATGCCAGGTGATGCACCGTTCCCACCCCACCTGCTAGCTGTTCCTTGCTCGAGACCCTTGCCTAGGAGCCGAGGCTCCTTCTTTGAGCTGCTGCGGCACAGCAGGGTGAGGCCTGACCTCCCACAAGCCTCACCCTGAGTTCTAGGTGCTGAAGCTGGGCCTGCACCTCGTGGTTCTTAACCAGAGTGGTCACCTAAAGGGCTGGCTGTCTCACCTTGTCATGATTCC